TTTGCATGAAATGTTCCCTTGGTGTCTCCAGTTTTCTTGAAGAGATCTCTAGTCTTTCTCTTTCTATTGTTTTCCTCTATTTCTATTATAAAGAAATGGAGCAGCCCTCATAGTCAACAAGAGTCCAAAATGCAGTACTTGGGTGCGGTTTCAAAAATGATAGACTGATCTCTGTTCATTTCCAGGGTAAATCATTCAGTATCACAGTAATCCAAGTCTATGCCCCAACCACTGATGCCAAAGAGGCTGAATTTGAACAGTTCTATGATGATCCACAAGACCTTCTAGAACTAACACCAAAAAAAGATGTCCTTTTCATGATAGGGAACTGGAATGCAAAAGTAGGAAGTCAAGAGATACTTGGAATAACAGGCAAGTTTGGCCTTGGAGTACATAATAAATCAGGGCAAAAGCTAACAGAGTTTTGCCAAGAGAACACATGGTCATAACAAACACACTTCCAACAGCACAAGAGACGACTCTGTGGATATCACCAATGCTCAATACTGAAATCAGATCGATTTCTTCTTTGCAGCCAAAGTTGGAGAAACTCTATACAGTCAGCAAAAACAAGACCTGGAGCTGTACTATGGCTCAGATCATGAGCTCCTTATTGCAGAATTCAGGACTAAATTGAAGAAAGTAGGGAAAACCACTACACCATTCAGGTATGACCTAAATCAAATCCCTTATGATTATATAGTGATGATGAATAAATTCAAGGGATTAGATCGGGTAGACAGAGTGCCTGAAGAACTACAGATGGAGATTCATAACACGTTACAGGAACCAAGACCAAAACCGTCCCAAAGATAAAGAAATGCAAGAAGGCAAAGGGTTATCTGAGGAGGCCTTACAATAGTTGAGGAAAGGAAAACTAAAGGGAAAGGAGAAAGGCAAAGATGAAAATGAGAGTATTAGTCGTTCAGTCATGTCCAACTCTTTGTGACCCTATGGACTGTAGCCCACCAGGCTCCTCTGTCCATGGAATTCTCCAGGCAAGAATACTGGAGTGAGTTGCCATTCCCTTCTCCAAGGGATCTTCCTGACCCAGGAATCAAACACACATCTCCTGCACTGCAGACAAGATTCTTTACCATTTGCGCCATCAGGGAAGCCTGAAGGGAAAGATACACCCAACTGAATGCAGAGTTCCGGAGAATAACAAGGAAAGCCTTCTTGAGTGAACATCGTCCTGGAGGTCTAGAGGAGAATCTGAGCTCCTGGATGGGGGTGGGCCCGCTGGGGGCTGGAGGATGCTGGACCTCGTAGGAGAGAGAGCAGCTCAGCGCCACCTGGCATGGGGCAGCCATGGGGCATCGCTGAGGATAGACAGCTGCAGGCAGACGCTGACGTGTTGGTCAGCTCGTGGTCTCTGCCGCCTTCAGCCCCGGGGTCGGGCTGAGGTCCACCCTTGACCTGAGAACAGACTTTGGGATTTTCAGGGGCTCTAAAGCTGAGACTGCCGTGCCTGGCTGCCCACTCCGAGCCCACTGGCAATGCCATCAGGGGCCGGGGTCCCCAGGGCTTCTCACCAGACCTGCAAGACCTTCGACGAGGGGCTTCCAGCAAGACTGAGCACATGGCGGGGCTGGGGCCTCCCACACCCGTCCAGCCTCTGCACACTGAGCCCCAATCAGCTCCAGCTGGGCCCACGCTGGGGGCCACACATCTTCGGGATGTGTGGGAGCCTCCACGGTTCTCTCATGACCTCAGATCACACCTGTCCGCTCATTATAGAACGTCAGCCCCTTGCACACTAGAGCAGCGCTACAGTTGCCAAGAGGAGGAGGCAACTCAGTGTTTAGCCATGGATGAGTGCATCCACAAAACGTGGTCCATCCACCAGTGGACTACTACTCAGCCTTAAAGAGGAAGGAAACCCTGACACAGGCTGCAACCTGGATGGACCTCGTGGACATGATGCTCAGTGAAATAATCCAGACAAGAAGGACGGATGCTGTCTGACTCATTCACAGGAGGTCCCTGGAGGGGTCACAGCCATAGACACAGGAAGTAGACGGAGGGGGCAGGGTCTGGCGGCGGGGGAGGGGAGCAGGCATTCACTGGGGACAGAGGGTCTGTTTGGAAAGGTGAGAAATTTCTGGAGGTGATCTTGGTGACGGTGGCAAAGCCTTGTGAATGTGCTCAATGCTGCTGAAACCTCGTTTACAAACGGTTGAGAGGGCAGGCTTTATGTGGTGTGCACTTTGCCACATTTAAAAAAAATAATTTAAAAAAATCAACCCCTCTGGGCAGCATAATCTACAGAAAGGAAGGCAGGGCACCTCCTGAACGGAGGAGCAGGGTCAGGGCGGAGCTGTGTCCAGGCCCGCTCCCAGCACAGACCTGGCCCCTGCCCACCCTCCACACAAACATCTTGACCTGCGGCTCCAGACCAGGCGGACTGGGCTTTCCTGGGGGCTGCATGACCGCACGCCCCGCTGACCAGGGCTGGGACTGTTCTCTCCTTTTCTTGTGCGGCAGATACGGATGAAGCCCCACCGTGCCCACACGCAGGGCACTGCTGTCTGCCCGGACCCCACAGACCGACCAGGGGTTGTGCGGGGAGGGACCAGGCGGACATTGCTTCCCAAGGGGATCTGAGGACGGGCTGGCACAGGCAACTGGCTGCCCTCGGGGGCTCATGGGGGTCTCTCAGCCCAGGGCTGGCCGCTCCTGTTGGGAGCTGGAGTCACCCGGCCCATGCGGATCTGAGGGTTCTTGCGCCAGGAGCCGTGCGCTCAGCTCGGGGCCAGTGAAAGCAGGGCTATTCCTAGCAAAGGAGAGATCTACTGCGGTCTCCCCCTCCCAGTAAAACAAAGGCCCCAGGCCAGGAAGGAAGGCAACTCGGCTCAGAATGCGGCCAAGCCCCAGGCCACCTGCAGGTTGACCAGACATCTCTGTGGCCGCTGCTCCCACTCCATAAGGGGGTGCTGGGGGTGAGAGATACTGGTGGCAGGGCCTCCAGGTGCCCCACTCTTACAGACCCCTCCTGGCAAATCAGGCCCTCTGCCCAGCAGCACCCCCATCACTTGGGGAGGCCAGGCTTCCCGGACATCAAGAGGTGCTCCTTACACGGCAGCCCTGGGCATGGGGCTGCCGGAGCAGGGTGTTCACCAGGATTCTGAGGCCACGTCCAGGCCTGTGCAGGAGGGAGGGGGCCCTATCTTTAGTGATGCCCCCCAGCCCCGGAGGGCAGGGTGGCAGCCACCTGCAGCCCGGGCCAGGCCTCCAAGTTGCCTGAGTGCCTGCTCTTCTGGCCTCGGGGAAGCGGGCCCGGCCTGCTGCCCCCGGGGACACCGCTTTCCTGGGGCCACAGACACGAGCCTGGGAGTGGGGCTCAGGGACCTGAGAACAGGGCCTGCCTCCCGGACTCACCGCTGGGGACCACAGGGGCCAGCCCACACTCAGGTTATGGCCGTCCCATCCCGGGAGGAACCTGGGTCCTGGGCAGTGGTCCTGTAGCCCCCAGGCGCCTCAGTGAGGAGGTGCCTATGGATGGGGACCAGCCCCGATAGCTTCACTCCCTCTGTCCCTTCAGGGCATCAGCCCAGCCCACAGGCAACCAAGCCCACAGGTGGGCATTGGAGGGCAGGAGGCTCCCGCCCCCCTTCACCCTGGAGGGCAGAGCCCGGTGCCGGGGGTCCGTGGGAGGCAGGGAGGCCGGGAATGGATCTGCATGGAGCCCCAGGTGTGCTGGGCACCCCACACCCATTCTCAGGGCTCCCTCAGCCTTGGGGCGGCCCCTCCTCTGTGAGAATCCCAGCACAGACGCATCCTCCTTCTGACTCGAAAGGCCTCAGAGTGGGGTGGCGTCGGCAGGTTTGGTGGGAAAGTGCCGGAGGCTAGGGGCTGTCCCGCTCTCCCCAGCAGTGAGGCGGAGGCCACAGGATGCTTCTTGTTTGCACACAGGGCTGGCCCGGCTGCTTTATTTAGTTTTGAGATTTATGGGGTTTTAATTCAGCCGTACGGGCTTCCCTGGTGGCTCAGAGGTTAAAGCATCTGTCTCCAATGCGGGAGACCCGGGTTAGTTCCCTGGGTTGGGAAGATCCCCTGGAGAAGGAAATGGTAACCCACTCCAATATTCTTGCCTGGAGAATCCCATGGATGGAGAAGCCTGGTGGGCTACAGTCCACGGGGTCACAAGGAGTCGACACGACTGAGCGACTTCACTTCACTTTCACTAATTCAGTCCTATCTAATGACGTAGTTGCTGATCAGCACCCGGAGTGGTGAATGGTCTGACAGACAGAGACGCAGAGAGATGCAGACAGACACAGAGACAGAGGGCGCTCAGCAGGAGAGCTGGAGGTGCCGGGCAGGTGGGGACCAGCCCGGATGAGGCCTTCTGGCCACTCTCTGATCTCAGGGCTCTGGAGCCAGGGGTCAGAGGTTGGCAGCAGTGACATGGTGGGAGGGGGACAATAGGTGCTGTCATGGCAACATCCAGGCCAGGCCGTGCACCAGCCCACCCAGAATCCCTCCTCCCTGCCTCCCACTCCGAGCTCCTGGGCTGGAGAGTCAGGCCTGCAATGCCCCTCCCCAAGAGGGTCCAGGGGAGGGTCCGTCTAAGAGGGGTCTGGTCCAGGGGGACACATCAGGGTGAGTCTGAAGGCTTGAGCTCATCCCCTTCTCTCCTCAAGATAACCTGGAGGACCCCCAGGCACTGACAGCAGGCCCCCAAACCTTGGGCACTGGGGTTCACAGCAGCCAAGTTGGGCAACCCATCAGTGGGTGAGCGGATGGACACACAAAATGCAGTCTGTCCGTCGGTGAAAGCTGCTCAGCCTTAAAGGGGAAGGAAACCCTGACACAGGCTGCAACGTGGATGACCCTTGAGGACGTGATGCGCAGGGAAGTAATCAAGTCTCACAAGGACGGATGCTGTCTGACTCCCCCACAGGAGGTCCCTGGAGGGGTCTCATCCACATCCCAAGGGGGAAGTGGACGGGGGGCCGGGGGCTGGGGCCACGGGGGAGGGGAGTGAGTGTCTGGTGGGGACGGAGTGTCCGTTCGGGAAGACGAACAGATTCTGGGGCTGACGGTGGGGCAGGTAACACAGCCTGGTGAGTGTCAGGGTCCCGAGCCGTGCGCCTGGAAATGACTGACACAGGAAATTCTATATGGTGTGTTTCTCACCACAGATAACAAGTTTTTTAATTTTAATGGAGAGGGAAATTGTTAAAGTAATAATGGGACAGTTTCCCACAGTAAAAAATGAAAGTCCTCAGATGAAAGGGATGCGGGGGCAGCCCACCAAGAGAAGCAGAAGCCCCAGCACCTTGGCACAGCTGAGCGACGCGCCAGGACCAGAGGAGCTCCCGCCAGAGGGCCCACGGGTGGAGATGGACGGAAAGCCCCAGGTGCCAGCCCTGCGCAGAGCTGGCGGGCCCCTGGGCTCAGAGGCTGCCCCAGGCCTCTGGGGAATCTGAGTGGTTCCAAGAGAGGCGGGGGCTGCACCACCAAACACCCTGCGGGGGTGGTGTTCTCTCCACAGTCGCCCAGAACACCCTGCGGGGTGATTATCTATTCACAGTCGCCCAGAACCGAGGACGACTGCACCCCCAGCAGCCAGGAAAGAGCGCCCCACACAGGCAGCTTGATCAGAGGAAGTCCACACGCTCCGTCCTGGAGAAGGGAAGTCCCAGGTCGAGGGGCTGCAGGGCTGCCCCCCAAGGCTCTAAAGGGGGGAGTGCCACGCTCTCCCCCCGCTGTGGGGGTTTGCTCCGGTCTCCGGCATCCTCGGCATCATCGAGGTGGAAGCCTCACCCCAACCTCTGCCTTCACCTTCCCGTGGCGTCTGACCCCCTGACGTGTGTCCGTCTCCACATTTCCCCCTTTTATAAACCATAATTGCACAGGAATAGGGCCCAGCCAATGACCTTTGTCACCTCCGTCACCTCTGGAAAGACCCGATCTCCAAATGTCACATTGGGGACAGACGCCAACACGTGACATTGTTCACCCATGGCACTGGGAGTAACCGATGGCCAGCACAGCAGGAGGAATCAGTAATCCTGGTAAAAGGACAGCTCGGCACCGCCCGGTAACAGAAAGTGAGAGTTTCTGATACAACACGCGCTAATCTCCAGGACAAAGCGTTCGTCCTTAGGATTCTCTCAGCGCGAATCATAAAAACAGGAGATGGTGAGAAAAACCAGAGGGACCTAGCAGAGTGCCGTCGGGGGCTCTGGATCTTTTGGGGTGGGAGGCAGTTTCCTCAGGCCTCTCATTACCAAGCCCCCATCACACCTCAATTATAGAGAGGCGGGGGAGAAGACAGCAGGGCCCACTGGGGCAGCTCCACGCCCGCTGGTTACAGGACCAAGGAGTTGTGGTTGCCGTTGTTCAGTTGCCGAGTCATGTCCAACTCTCTGCGAGCCCATGGATCGCACTCCAGGCCTCCCTGCCCCTCACCATCCCCCAGAGTTTGCCCAAGTTCATTCAGTCAGTGAGGTCATCCAACCACCTCGTCCTCTGCCCTCTTCTCCTTCTGCCTTCAATCTTTCCCAGTCAGGGTCTTCTCCAATGAGTTGGCTGTTTAAATGGTTGAAGAAGTCTGAATTTCCTCTGATATTTAGGCCAATTATTTTTCCAACTCGAGGGCACCAAACCTCAGGTTTGCGGGTCCTGAAAGAGTCCCTGCAGACACGCGGATGCTGAGAAGCCAGTGCGGGGGCGGGGGTGACACTCCGGGAGCGCCCCCTGCCAAACACCTCGACCAAACAGAAGGAAGAGCTCAACCCATGTGAGCCGCGACTGGAACTCCAGACACATGAGCTTCATGGCCAGCAGGCTGCTCACCTTGCCCACGACCACCCCTGGACCCCATGTCTACAGCGACCTAGGCCTCCGATGGGCTCCAGGCAGTGGCTGGAGCTCCCCTGGAAGGACTCTGGGGAAGTGACAGAAGGGACAGCTGCCCCCACCAAACTGAGCACCGGCCCTCCGGTTCAAAGGTGCAGCTGGCACCCAGCCCTGCCAGGAGCCTTTGACCAGCTTATCAGTGAGCTGTGCCAATGCTTCCTGCCTGAGGGGAGGGCAGGAGACCTCCCCATCCCTGGGTAAACTTCCGTGGCCTGGAGCTCGGCCCGCCTCATGCCAAGAGGCCAAAGGACTGAGATGCCTGCGGTTTGGCCAAGAGCTGCTGTTTGGGCGCTGGTCTTGTTTGAGCCCAGATTTCAGACAGAAGGCCGCTGTGGATGCTGGCATCCTTAGAGGGCACCCCACCACCCACCCTGGAGACCCGAGACGGGTTTTCAGTAAGGGTCTTAAAAGCCGACTCTAAGCAGGGGGCATGCTGCCCCTCTTCCCGGCTCTCCGTGTGGGGTCCCATCTTCAGACAGAGGTGGGGTTGACTCTGTAGACTGTAAGGGAGGCAGTTTAGGCAGGGCTCGGGGGTGGGCGCCAGGGGGCCCAAGCCACACAGGGGTGGCTTCCAGGCCCCCTGGGGAAGGATCTGGCTGGGCGCAGGGGCCACAGAGGGATACGGGAGTCTCGGCCCGTGGCCGACCCTGCAGCTGGAGCTGGAGCCGCCGTCTGAGCACAAGAGGGAAGATGCGCAGATCGCTCACTGCCCTGCAAATGCCGAGTAGCAGGGAGCCCCGCTTTCTGGTCCTTGGGCCCCAGGAAGGCCGAGCAGACAGGATGCCGTGGACCCCAGGCCACTGCAGGGGCACCTGCGACGTGAGGCAGCGAAGCCCCTGATCTCCCTGGGGCCTCGTTAAATAGGCCTGCGGACACCGAGGGGATTTGGATCTGGAAAACGCCCTACAACCACCCCCCAACCCCGGCCCCCAATGCCCCACCTGAGAGTGCAGGAGGAGGCGGCCTGGCTGCGGAGGGCGCGGTCTGGCTTCTCAGCCATGCGGAAGACAGGACGTGTGAGGCTGGTCGTGGGGCCAGCTCAGGGCGGCTAGCGGACAGCATCCCGAACCCAGAAGAGGGGAATTCGGGGCTTGGAAGTGTTCCCGAGGAACAGGGCAGGCGCCTTCTGCTGCAGGACCAGGCCGGGAGTGCGGGGAGGGGAACTGGGGTGGCGAGGGGCAGCCCTGGCCTCATCCCCATGGCCCCACCTATCGGGAGCCCAGCCTGGGTCTCGGGGGTCAGCTTGGTGGGGTGCTGCCTACACAGCGGCGTGACCCCCAAGGCTGCTGGCCAATCTCGGCTGGCTTAGATGTCTGTCAGATGAAGTGATAGTCGACCCCTGTCAAGACTGTCCTTGGACAGAGCTCCTTCACCCTGGGCCGGGGTCTCTGAGCCGCTGGCACGCCCCTGGTCACACCCCCCAGTGTGCAGGGAGTGGGCTTTCGGTGGGAATGCCAACAGGTGACGGCCCCAAAGCCCCATGGCCACCCGAACGCGCTCTCTGGTCCTCCTGGAGGCTGTTTCCCAGGGCGACTGAGCAACATTGATGTTGCTTACTGTCTCCAGGCCTGGAGGCTGGAACCCCAGACCCAGGTGTGGGCTGGGCTGGTCCTCCTGAGGCCTCGCTCCTGGGCATGCAGACGGCCGTCTCCTCTCCACGTCCTCACGTGGCCACTCCTCTGTGTGTGTCTGTATCCTGACCTCCTCCTAAGGACATCAGTCCTGTGAGGTTGGAGTCCACTCTGGCAACCTCATTTTACCTTCTGCCTGGCTTGTTAGTCGCTCAGTCGTTTGACTCTTGCGACCCATGGACTGTAGCCCACCATGTTCCACTGTCCATGGGACTTCCCTGGCAAGAATACTGAAGTGGGTTTCCACTCCTTTCTCCAGGGGATCTGCCCGACCCAGGGATCAAGCCCGGGTCTCCTGCGTTGGCAGGCATGTTCTCTGCCACTGAGCCAGCAGGGAAGCCCACATTTCACGTTAACCCATCTTTAAAGGCTTATCTCCAAATGCTCACATCTGGGGGCTGGGGTCAGGACTCCTGCTTGTGAACTGGGGACACAGCTCAGCCCGAGACAACGTGCAAGGACAAAGAGGGAACGTAAACCCCCTGCCCAGGGAGGAAATTCTGAGCTTCTCTCCAGGACCAGCAGGTAGGGGCGGGGGCAGTGGCCAGCGGAGCCTTAAAGAGGCTGGATCCAACTCAACCCCGTGAGCAAAGTCCCGAGGGCCCACAGGAGCCTCGAGGTTCTCAGAGCCCAGTCATGCCTGCGGGTCCCTGCTCTGCCCCCCTGGTCACAGGCTGTGGCCAGCTGAGTCCAGGGAGGGACTGACCACACGGGAGATGAGGGGCTCAGGGCCATGCCAACCTGGCCAGGTGGCTCCTCTCGCCCTCACCCTCAGCTGAGATCTGGGCACCCCACCGCGTGTTCCCGGTGCTCCTGCCAGGGCCCAAGGGGCATGCTGGATGTTGCAGGACACACGCCCCAGGCCTTCCTGGAGTGACTCTAAAGCCCCAGCACTAAATCTGATGTTTGCTGCCTTTTTTGATCAATATCCCTTAACAAAGGAGTAGCATTTCCTTCTAGTCCTAATGTTCAGTTGCTAAGTTATGTTCTGCTCTTTGAAACCCACTGAACCGCAGCACGCCAGGCTCCCCTGTCCTTCACCATCTCCCGGAGCTTGCTCAATTCATGTCCATGGAGTCAGTGATGCTATCTAACCATCTCATCCTCTGTCGTCTCCTTCTCCTCCCACCTTCAATCCTTCCCAGCATCAGGATCTTTTCCAATGAGTCAGTTCTTCACATCAGGTGGCCAAAATATTGGAGCTTCAGCTTCAGCATTAGTCCTTCCAATGAATATTCAGGACTGATATCCTTTAGGATGGACTGGTTGGATCCCCTTGCAGTCCAAGGGACTCTCAAGAGTCTTCTCCAACACTACAGTTCAAAAGCATCAATTCTTTGGTGCTCAGCCTTCCTCATGGTCCAGCTCTCACATCCATACACGACTACTGGAAAAATCATAGCTCTGACTGTACAGACCTTGGTCAGCAAAGTGATGTTTCTGCTTTTAGTGCTCTGTCTAGGCTTGTCATAGCTTTTCTTCCAAGGAGCAAGCGTCTTTTAATTTCATGGCTGCAGTCATCATCCACAGTGATTTTGGAGCCCAGGAAAATAAAAACTGTCACTGTTTCCACTTTTTCCTCATCTATTTGCCATGAAGTAATGGGACCAGATGCCATAATTTTAGCTTTTTGAATCTCAAGTTTTAAGGCAGCTTTTTACTCTCCTTCACCCTAATCAAGAGGCTCTTTTATTTCCTCTTCACTTTCTGCCATAGGATGGTATCACCTGCATGTCTGAGGTGGTTGATATTTCTCATGGCACTCTTGATTCTTTAGGAAGCATTACTACAAACAAAGCTAGTCGAGGTGATAGAAGTACAGCTAAGCTATTTCAAATTCTAAAAGATGATGCTGTTAAAGCGCTGCACTCAATACACCAGCAAATTTGGAAAACTCAGCAGTGGCCACAGGATTGGAAAAGGTCAGTTTTCATTCCAATCCCAAATAAGGGCAATGCAAAGTATGTTCAAACTACTGCACATTTACACTCATTTTACACGATAACAAGGTAATGCTCAAAATTCTTCAAGCTAGACTTCAACAGTATGTGAGCTAAGAACTTCCAGATGTAGAAGCTGGATTTAGAAAAGGCAGAGGAACCACAGATCAAATTGCCAATATCCACTGGATCCTAGAAAAAGCAAGAGAGTTCCAGAAAAACATCTACTTCTGCTTCATCAACTACACTAAAGCCTTTGCTTGTGTGGATCACAACAAACTGTGAAAAATTCTTCGCAAGAGATGGGAATACCAGACCACCTAACCTGTCTCCTGAGAAACCCATGTGCAGGTAAAGAAGCAATGGTTAGAATCGGACATGGAACAACAGACTGGTTCAAAAAGGGTACCTCAAGGCTGTATATCGTCACACTGCTTATTTAACTTATATGTAGAGTATGTCATATGAAATGCTGAGCTGGATGAATCACAAACTGGAATCAAGATTGCCAGGAGAAATATCAACAACCTCAGATATGCAGATGACACCACCCTAACGGCAGAAAGCGAAGAGGAACTAAAGAGCCTCTTGATAAAGGTGAAAAAGAGAGCGAAAAAGCTGAATTAAAACTCAATATTCAAAAAAATGAAGATCATGGCATCCAGTCCCATCATTTCATGGCAAATAGATGGGGAGAAAATGGAAACAGAGACAGACTTTATTTTCTTGGGCTCTAAAATCACTGTGGACAGTGACTGCAGCCATGAAATCTAAAAGACGCTTGCTCCTTGGAAGAAAAGCTATGTCAAACCTAGACAGTGTATTAAAAAGCAGACATCCTTTTGCCAACAAAGGTGCATATAGTCAAAGCTATGGTTTCTCCTATAGTCATGTACGGAGGTTGAGAGCCAAAGAACTGATGCTTTTGAACTGTGACTCTGGAGAAAACTCTTGAAAGTCTCTTGGTGAGCAAGGAGATCCAACCAGTCCATCTGAAAGGAAATCAACCCTGACTATTCTTTGGAAGGACTGATGCTGAAGCTGAAACTCCAATACTTTGGCCACCTGTGTGAAGAGTCAACTCATTGGAAAAGACCCTGTTGCTGGAAAGATTGAGGTCAGGAGGAGAAGGGGACGACAGAGGATGAGATGGTTGGATGGCATCACCGACGCAATGGACATGAGTTTGGGCAGACTCCAGGAGATGGTGAAGGACAGGGAAGCCGGGCATGCTGCAGTCCACGGGGTCACAGAGTCAGACACGACTGAGTGACTGGACAACAGCCCTGCAACGTGTCTGTGACCGGGGTCGGGGGGGCATTCGCAGGGGCTTTGGTGGGGGGACCTGTTCCCCAGATTGCCGGAAAGCCCCCATTTACCAAAGGCATCACACTGGGCCCCCCAGGCAGTGGGGAACATGTACCATCTCACACCTTTCCCCCGTCACAGCTCTGCCCGAGAGCCTGGTGGGCAAGCCAAGACAGTTGCCCCACAGCAGAGGGGCAGGGCCACTGCCCGCGGTGCAGGAGTCCGGCAGACAGCGGACCCTCAGAGCCCTCACCAAGAAACGGGGGTGGGCGCAGAAATAGATGACCTGAGAAGAGTGATGAAAGGATACCACCCCCTGGGCTCCCCAGCTGGTGCTAATAGTAAAGAACCCACCTGCCAGTACAGGAGATGTAAGAGGTGTGGGTTCAGTTCCTGGGTCAAGAAGATCCCCTGGAGGAGGGAATAGCCACACACTCCAGGATTCCTGCCTGGGAAATTCTGTGGACAGAGGAGCCTGGCGGGGCCTGGAGGGCCACACTCTAGAGTCACAGAGTCAGACATGACTGAAATGACTTAGCATCCACCACCTTCCACCCCTCCCGGCCCCCACTGGGGTCTGGGGGGTGCCTGGGGTCACCAAGGCGTGCATGCGTATGTTCAGCTGTTCTCTGGTTCATTCGTCCAGTGTAGGTGGGGCAGGAGGTGCCCCCTGACTCCTCTGGGCCTGGGGCTGCTGCCTCCATGACCGTCTGCTGGTGGTCATCAAACTATTTCTAAGCCGAAAACCTCCTTCCAAGCAAAACCTCATGAAAACCATGTGTCCAGAAGTGACAAGCCAGGGCTGTTAGGCTTAAAGCCGCGGGTCCAGGAGTGCAGCCCACGCTTGCCCGGTCATCTGGGAGCCTCCACTTCTCAGGGGCCCCAGGAGGCGGAGCCTGAGGCCCCCCCAACTCCTGTCCCGCAGGCCCCAGGGCTGGTGCTGCCGGGCGGGCTGGCATCCACCTCCAGAGCTCATGGCCGCCACGGCCAGGCCGGGCACAGGGAGAGCTCAGAGCCTGAGGTGGGAGCAGGGCTGGTTCCGAGGCTCCCGGGACCCCCTCATGGCCTTGCAGCCGGGCAGGCAGCCCCCATTGCCTTAGCCTCCACGGAGGGGCGTGGTGGCTCCAAGGCCAGCTCAGGCCCGCTGACTGCCCAGGAGTCCGCAGGACAGGGCCAGCGGCCGTGTGCGCTCCTGGGGTCACTGGGACCCGGGACCCGGGACCCAGGCTGGGGCTGCTGCTGCGGGGTCCTGACCTGGTGTCCATGGGGGGTGGGCCGGGAGGGGGCCGGGCAGCCGAGGGGAGGGCAGTGGATGGAGGGGGGGCCTGGGTCTCCCCTGGGCAAGCCCGCTGGCCCTGGGGCGGCTTCTCCCAGCGCTTATCCATCAGTCAGGCGGTAATGTGGCAGACAGGTGTCTGGGGTAAAGGGTACTAGGGGCCATACATGGGCCCTGGGGATCAGCACCCTCCTCATAGGCCTCCAACAATGCCCACAGGCAGGTTACTGTGCTCAAGGGTCCTCAGCCCAGGGACCCAGGGCCCCTCCCTCACCACCAGTCAGAGAGAAGGCAACCAGCCGTCTCCCAACTCAGGGTCCCTGGCCACCAGCCTTGCCCTTGGCCGCAAAGGGTCATTCGGTCCCTCCCTAGAATTCCCACTCTGATAGTTCAGCCAGCTCACAACGCAGCTCCCCAACACATGCGGGCGAGTGGACACACACAGGTGAGTGGACACATGACAGATAGGCAGGCTCTGGACACACACGGGTGAGTGGACACATGACATGTGTGGGCAGGTGGACACACGTGGGCAGTGGACACACGTGGGCAGGTGGACATGTTGACACACACACAGGGCTGCCTCCAGCCCAGGTCCCCAGAGCCCGTTGGAGCTCCGTCAGGTTGGTCTGAAGGGTCTGGCGGCCCTGCCAATTGCTTTTCGGTGGCCCGGGAGGATCCATAAGGTCACTTCTTGTCATTTTTTGCAGCAGGTGGGGCGTGCTGCCCCGTGTTGCTCCCAATCTGTGGTTCAGGACCAGGCCTGTCTCTATCTCCCCAGGAGGAAGTGCATTTCACACGCACATATGCAAATGTGTGCATACTCACACGGTCACATGTGCAAACACACACTCACACACACACAAACAGGTGCAAATGCAGCCCAGTGGCTTCTTTTCACAAATTCAGGCTCGGAGGGCCTCCCCCAGGGGGTAGCCTCCTGCATCTTGAAGGCGCAGCGAGGGCTTTGTGCATGCCAAGGGTGGGACAGGCACCCATGTACAGCCTCCCCCGTATCCCTCCCCCAGAGCCTGGCGGCCAGGCCCCACGCACCCCCCTGGAAGCGGCCACACCCGGGCCGTGCACCGCAACCCACCCAGGCCCCCAGCAGCTACTGAAGCACACCACCACGGCGTCTCTGCCCAAGTTTATTTTGGAAAGCAAAGAATCGAACAAAGGCTCAGAAAATAAATATCCGCAGAGAGAAAGTCAGCCCAGGAGGCGAGGCAGCTGAGGGGTCAGCGGGAAGGGGACGCGGGATGGTGAGGGCCGGGCCCGCCCCTCACCCCCGCCCAGGGGCCACCCCGAGGGGCGAGGAGCGCCGGGCCCTGCGCTGGGCGGGCGGCTCACACAGGGTGTCCTGGCACAGGCAGCTGTCGATGTGGGTGTAGGTGTGGCGGAGTGTGCCCCCGTCCGGGCACCGCAGCGTCACCTCACGCTGGCTGGTGCGATGCTCCTTACAGCAGGAGCACCTGTGGTCCAGGGCCTGGGCCTCGGCCGAGTACCTGGGGGAAGGCCGGGGTCAGGGCCGCCCCCGACCGCCGGGGCGGGCACAGCCTCCCTCACCGCCCCCACCGGGGCCCCGGCACCCAGGACTCACATGGCGAAGGTCCCGCAGGACCCAGAGCAGTCATTCATGGAGACCAACGTGGTGCAGCCATTGTGCGAAATCTCCCTCACGACAGGGACGGTAGCGCAGGGGACGCTGGTCTCATTGCGAAGGACGCCTGGGGAGAGAGGCAGAGCCTGGGAGGGTGTCCCCGCCTTCCGGGGCCCTCCTGCGCCCCTCACGGCCTCCTCCTGCCTTCCCAAGCGCGACCTCCTCCAGGGCCCTCAAGCAAGCTGGGTCATCATGGGCTCCTGGAAAGGATGCAGGCTTCCTGGGCACATCAGGTGATGTCCTCAAAGTCAGCATCCAGCCGGGAGTGGCCCAGAAGTGACGGGGTTCCCAGGGCACCATCCCCTTCCTCTCCCTCCCCTCAAGGGGTCTGGGGGGAGCCCCCGCCAGGCCTGGGCCACAGGGCCCACCCGCCCGAGGCCCACACTCACATTTCCTGCAGCAGCCATTGGGCATGAGCGTGATGGAGCCCTAGCGGGAAGGAGAGACAGTTGGGAGCCCAGACCTCCCCCAGTGGTGATAGTGCTGCCCCCTACCATGAGGGTGGACGGGGCAGTTCCTGCAGAAGGGCCCAGGACGGAGCCTGCAGCCGTTGCCACGTCCTGCGATGGAGCCCAGCCCCTCAGGCACATCAGGGTCCCCACTCCAGCAGGGACGGCCCTGCTCACCTGGACGCAGGTGCTGGGGTCAAAGTCAGGGCAGGTGATGTTGGAGACAGAGGAGATGAGCTGGTCGTGTATCTTCACGCAGCTGAAGAAGGTACAGTTGTTCAGGGAGTCACTCTTCATGTCTCCGGGCTGCGGACGGAGTGGGGGGTTCTGTGTGAGGCCTGGCGGGAGCCCCGGGCAGCCCCCTGACCACCTTGCCAAGTGCAGCCCACTGGCCCAGAGCTGCGGAGCCAGTGACACCAGGAGGGGCCCAGGGACCCGCGGCCCACAGTCCCCAGATGGTCCATGTCCTATCCCAGTGGCCTGACTTGGAAAAGTCACCCGGAGGCCCAAACCCCAGGACCGGAGTCCTGACGGGAGACAGGACGTGCTCGGCCCTGCGGGCAGGGTCGGGGGACGCACCTTCAGGACCAGGCTCTGCTGGCCGGGCCGGCTGATGATGCAGTGGGTCTGCTCACACTTCTTGCAGCACTCCCCAGGGGCGTCCACCAGCTCAAAGCCCTGCAGGACACCGGCGGGTTGGCGTGGGAAGAGGCAGGGTCACATGGGGTGAGGATGGGCGGGGCCAGCCTGCCGGGCCGGGGCTGCTTACGGGGCTGCAGGTGGTGTTACAGGGCACGTGGCTGCAAGTGATGACGTTGAGCTGCGTGGCGTCATCCCTGCGGTCGGTGCAGACACAGTTCTGGCACTTGGATGAATAGACTGGAGAGCCGGGCTTCAGGCACAGGGAAGGCGGGTGAGGCGGGCCCACGCGGTGCCTCCCCACCTCCAGGACGCCACTGCGTTGCCGGGAGAGGGGCCCCCACCGGCCGAGCCTGCCCGGGACCCTGCCCCCGAAGGCCCCTCTGCGCCCCCGCCCCGCTCCCCACAGCCAGCAGGCTCACCTGATACTCGGCGTGCTCCAGCACACACACGCCCTTGGGTACTTGGGAGAAAGAACCAGAACAAGCGTCAGACTGTCCTGCCAGACCCCGGGGCGGATGCGCAGCCAGTGGACAGCGTGGGGGCGAGAGGCTGGGCTGGGCGTATCCACCAGGCAGAACCTGAGCCCCCAGGCAGGAGCCCCTTCGGCCACCCTCTGCCGCCCGACACCCAGCCGGAGCCCTGCCCACCCCAGGCCTCACTCCCCCCGGCCCAGCCCACCTACCACACGAGTACAGAGGGCAGCACCTCCCGGGCACCATCTCGCTCTTCACCTGGAAGCCCAGTGGGCACAGCGGGGGCTTCTCCCTGCACAGGCTGGCGTTGCACTCTGCAGGTGGTGGGGACACACTGGTGAGCCCGGACGCCGCCCCATACAGAGCAGGTCCTGGGCCTGGGCCCCCTCACCACCTGCCTGCCCAGCGCCCACGCCCCGCAGACATGCCTGAGGCCCGGGCCTCCAGGACCACGCTAGAGCCTGGCCACCACGCACCCCGCCAGCGGGGGCCTTACTGCAGGAGGTGAGGTTGCAGCAGGTGTTGGTGGGGTCCACCTCCGTGAACGCGTAGGTGCCGTCCTCCTCGCACTCCAGCCGGGGCTCCGGCCGGCATGTCTTGGGCTTGCAGATGATGCCGCTCCCGCCCTCCAGGCAAATGCAGTCCTTGCAGTCGAACTCAAAGTGTTCCCCATACTGCAGGGGAGGGGGAGCCCACCCCCGTCAGCGCAAGACAGCACCGCGCCGCCTGGCCCATGGAGCGACTGGCGGGAAACCCCAAGCCCTCCCCACCTCCCCACCTCCGCGCGCCTGGGGCAGGCTCTGGGGAGGACACTCGCACCAGGACTGGGACCTGCTCCCACGTGGTCCCCGGGCCTGGCACGTGGCAGAGGCACCAGGCGTGTCTGCGGGGCTCACGCAGAGCGGAGCTAAAGAACCAGCCACGTGCAGGAGTCACGCACACCACCCAGCAGACAGGCCACAGGTGTAGCCAGAGCATCCGGCGGCTAGTGGGCGGATGGGGGGGGGCAGGTGGATGGGCCCCGTGCTACCTCAACCTTCCAGGACTTCAGGGACTCATTAGTCTGCCTCTGAGGGTCCCAGGTTTTCATCCCACCCCAACCTGTCCCCCAAAACACAGGGCTCATGGGAGGGCCTGGCCCCAGCACCGAGGGGGGGGCCTACCTCTCTGGGCACGTTGTCGGGCCCCACGCAGCCTAGGAGAGAGAGGAGACAGGCCCTGTGAGCTCGGGCCGTGCCACAGGCGCTGGGCTCAGCCCCAGGAAGGGGAGGGCAGAGGGCGCGCGGGCAGCCTACCGCACAGGTCCACGCAGACGTCGAAGCCGGGCGCGTAGCTGGTGGTGCCCTCGGGACAGAAGCAGCCTTCCACCAGGCGTGTGCTGTTCGGCTGGGAGGGGCTGCGGGGAGGGCATCAGGAGATGGGTGTGGGGACGGGTGGGACCACCAGGCCCAGACAGGGCCTCCCAGAGCAGGGCGGAGGGGCAGCCAGCCCTCCCAGTGCCTCCACCATGACTGACCTAGACTTACAGGTGGGCTCCTCCACGGGGCCGCAGGCCCGGTACTCACGGTGGGCGGGGCACGTCACCGCTGGGGAGGGGGCAGCATCAGAGGGAGGGCCCTGGGCCCCCACCCACCCCACTGACCACCGCCCAGCCCCTCCCACATTGCCACCACGCACCCCGCCAGCGGGGGCCTTACTGCAGGAGGTGAGGTTGCAGCAGGTGTTGGTGGGGTCCACCTCCGTGAACGCGTAGGTGCCGTCCTCCTCGCACTCCAGCCGGGGCTCCGGCCGGCATGTCTTGGGCTTGCAGATGATGCCGCTCCCGCCCTCCAGGCAAATGCAGTCCTTGCAGTCGAACTCGAAGTGTTCCCCATACTGCAGGGGAGGGGGAGCCCACCCCCGTCAGCGCAAGACAGCACCGCGCCGCCTGGCCCATGGAGCGACTGGTGGGAAACCCCAAGCCCTCCCCACCTCCGCGCGCCTGGGGCAGGCTCTGGGGAGGACACTCGCACCAGGACTGGGACCTGCTCCCACGTGGTCCCCGGGCCTGGCACGTGGCAGAGGCACCAGGCGTGTCTGCGGGGCTCACGCAGAGCGGAGCTAAAGAACCAGCCACGTGCAGGAGTCACGCACACCACCCAGCAGACAGGCCACAGGTGTAGCCAGAGCATCCGGCGGCTAGTGGGCGGATGGGGGGGGGCAGGTGGATGGGCCCCGTGCTACCTCAACCTTCCAGGACTTCAGGGACTCATTAGTCTGCCTCTGAGGGTCCCAGGTTTTCATCCCACCCCAACCTGTCCCCCAAAACACAGGGCTCATGGGAGGGCCTGGCCCCAGCACCGAGGGGGGGGCCTACCTCTCTGGGCACGTTGTCGGGCCCCACGCAGCCTAGGAGAGAGAGGAGACAGGCCCTGTGAGCTCGGGCCGTGCCACAGGCGCTGGGCTCAGCCCCAGGAAGGGGAGGGCAGAGGGCGCGCGGGCAGCCTACCGCACAGGTCCACGCAGACGTCGAAGCCGGGCGCGTAGCTGGTGGTGCCCTCGGGACAGAAGCAGCCTTCCACCAGGCGTGTGCTGTTCGGCTGGGAGGGGCTGCGGGGAGGGCATCAGGAGATGGGTGTGGGGACGGGTGGGACCACCAGGCCCAGACAGGGCCTCCCAGAGCAGGGCAGAGGGGCAGCCAGCCCTCCCAGCGCCTCCACCATGACTGACCTAGACTTACAGGTGGGTTCCTCCACGGGGCCGCAGGCCCGGTACTCACGGTGGGCGGGGCACGTCACCGCTGGGGAGGGGGCAGCGTCAGAGGGAGGGCCCTGGGCCCCCACCCACCCCACTGACCACCGCCCAGCCCCTCCCACATGGGACCCCATCCCATACAGGCCGAGCGTGGCCTCAGCCCCTCATTCTGTCCCGAGCCAGGAGGCGGGGGTCCAGCCCCACAGGGGCTTAGCAGGGCCGGTCTTCAGGCGGCCTGGCCCCCCACCCCAGCCAGGATTCCCGCTGAGCATCGGACGGGGCAGGTGGGCACTCACGGCAGGCCCCGCCAGTATGGTTCCGCCAGTCCACGCAGATGCCCTCCTGGGCACATAGGGCCGCGTAGGTCTGCAGGCTGGCACACTCCAGGTTCGAGCCAGGCACGTAGCAGCTGTCGAACAGGCAGGCTTCATAGTAGTGCTGGGGAGGCGCCAGGGCATGGCACTGGGCGAACAAGCTGTGGAGGAGGACTGCAGGTCACGGGCTGGCCAGTGCCCCCAGCCTCTCACATGCCCCTGCCCGGCACCTCCATCTGGGCTGCACCCCCTCGGGGGCCCAGCTCAGCCTGTACCACCAGACAGATGCCTGTGGGCTGAGGGTGGGAGCAAAGCATCAGGGCTGGCCCCAGGGGCACGGGCTGGCCTGAGGCCGTGGCAGCCAGCACTGAGGCCAAAGGATGCATGCCATGCTTGGCCCCCAGACAGGGAAGGTCTGCGTCTAAGTGGTCACCAGGGGCCAAGGTCCCCCAACAAGGCTGGCAGGGGCCGTCCTGACCTCCATGCACACACCTCTGGGGATGACAGGCTTGCTCCCATGGATACCAGCTTTGGTCCCCTCTCTAAGCCCAAATTCCCCTCCCCAACATCAGTTGTGGATGCTAACTCTGTCGTGGGTCAACTGGTCTACCCCAGCCTTTGCGCTCAGCAGACACTGCACCGTCCCAGAGTCAAGAGAGATGGAATGGGGGGGAGTCACAAAGGGCCCTGGATACCCTACAGGAGCCCAAGTCCTGACCCTGCTGTGACTGCCGTCTGCCTTTCCAGCCCCAGGCTCAGCGCCAGCGGCTTGTCCATGGCAGACCGGGTGGGGGTGCAGCTGGCCGGGGGTCCTTGGCAGACCAGGTGGGGCTGCGGCTTGCGGGGCGGATCACCTGTCCTTGATGAGCTCACAGAGCGGAGACGCACAGCTCTTCGTGGGGGAGCTGCTGGTGCCCACCGAAGGCGAGATGGCCGGGCGCCTGGTGGTGAAGCTGGTGTGGGGACAGCGTGGCTTGGAGGGGTCGTTCACCACCCAGTAGTCAGCTGCGATCTCACAGCTCTCAATGCTCTCCCCACTGGGCAGCACACAGTCGTCCAAGGTGTTGTTGGTGCACGTGCCTGTGCGGGTGGGCAGGCCACGTGAACTCACACCAGGCCCAACCGTCCAGCAGGGCAAGCCCCCGGGACCCCCCACTCCAGCTGTGCAGCTGGGCAAGCCCCCGGGACCCCCTACTCCAGCCCAGGTCCCTGGTGGTCCTCTGGCCAGGCGTAAGGGCACAGATGAGGCTCCTACTGGCTTCCCACAGGAACCAGACCCAGACGGGGCTGGGGGGCCTGTGGGGGCCTGAGCAGTGTGGAGAGCCACCCCTGGGGGAGCAGCTCCCGTGGCCAGCCTCTGCCAGGCCATCCTCCCCAGGCCGGGGTGCAGGGGTCAGGGGCTCACCACACTGGCCCTTCGTGTTGTTGCCGAACAGGCGGTAGGGCAGCCGGATGGAGAAGGAAAGGCCGTTGTAGGAGATGAGGGCGCCCAGCTCGGGGATGTCCACCATGTAGTTGATGCCCGACTCATACACCTGCAGCCCGAACTTGGTGTAGGGTAGCGCCACGGCCTGCCTGTTGACCTGCACCTGCGGCAGAAACCCCGGGTCAGGGGTCAGGGGGCGGGGCGAGCCGTGGGGGCCACCCCTCCCTGACCCAGCACATGCGGTGGGTGCTCTCTGCCCTCCCCCTCCCCACTTCCTTCCTATCACAGTGGGCCAGATCCTTGTCCTGACTAATCCCAGGGGCCAGGTGGCAGGGGCACCATCCTCTGGGTCCCCCATAGGCCTGGGGACCCCGAAAAGGGGTAAGACTCCCTGCATGGTGTGCAGAGAGCCCCGGGCCTCAGGGAGGGGGCGCCTGCCACAGAGGCCTGTGTCCAGGACGAGTGGCAGGGGCGTGAGTAGCAGGGGTCAAAGGGGCCCTGAAAGCCTCCAGAGGGCCCGTGCGATGTGTCCACAGAGCCCCTCTCCAAGCCTGGCTCTGGGTCCGGGAGCAGCCCAACCTCCCGCTGCATGAGGAAGCCAGCAGCAGTGCACCCACCGTGGACCCCCACCACCCCACCAGCGTACCTGCACCCTGATGGGCATCATCTGCACAGTCTTGATCAGCACCTCCTGGGTCTCGTGGCGCACGATGAGCGTGCGGGGGCAGGACACTTCATCGTTGACGTCACAGTGGTAGTTGTCGACGTAGATCCCGAAGTTGTCCACCTTGGGGCTGATCTCCTCCACCAGCACATACGTGCAGTTGCCCTGGTAGCTGTAGTAGAGCCCGTCGAAGGTGACGTAGTGCGGGTCCCCCCAGCCCGTGCAGTAGCCTGCGGAGGAAGTGGGGTGAGCTCGCGTCGCGCCCCCGACTGGGGGCGGGATGGGGACAGGACATGCTCAAGGCTCGGGTGGGAAGGGCAGGCAGAAACTGCGGAAGGCCCTGCAGTCTGGTTCCCAGGGCACTCAGGGCATCTGGGCCCCGAGAGTGCACATGCCCCTCAGCCCACAGTGGCCCGGCTTTGGTCCTGACACCTCTGCGCTCCGCTCTCATGAGGGCAGTCAGCCAAGGGGAGAAGGTGGGATGGCCCCCGCACACCCTGCGCCCAGCAGGCTGCCTGAAGCCTTGACCCAACTGGGGCTGGTGTGGGCCACAGAGGCAGGGGCATGACCTACAGGAAGCCAGCACCTGGGGCTTTAGACGCCAGAGGGGACAAAAGTCACCCACAGACACAGACCTCCCTGGGAGGATCCAAGTCCGGGCACCCGGGGACCAGTGGGTTGGGTGTACTGGATTCATGGGTGGTAGTTGTGGATGGGCTGGGTGTTGGGGAGGATGTGGACGGGCATGACCAGTTGAAGAACTCAAGCTCGCATTTCAGCGAGCAGTTCACGTAGTAGCAGGTGTCTCCATGCGTGCCGTTGTACACCAGCTCGCCTGCAAGGGGAGAGACAGTGCTGACAGCATCCACACAGGGCTGGCCCCCTGAGCACACAGGCTAGCTCCCCCAGGGGCCATGAGAGAGACACCCACACTTCCCTGATTTGTGGCTGTAGCACGTGGGGCTGGCCATGGACATATCCACCCAGGCCCAGCACCCAGCTTCCCAAGCAAGCTCCCAGTTTAAACCTTCGACTGAGCCCTAAGCACCGGGAACACAAAGCGCCACCAGCCTGCGCTGCCTGAATCAGAATGAAGAGCTTGCATACCTGGGGCATAGTAGGTGTCATTCAAAAAGCAGCATTCAGTCACGGAGTTGGGTGAGGTGACCCCGCCAGTGCTCGTGGTAATGTGGGGGGAGGTTGCTGGGGTCACAGTGGAGGTGGACACACTGGAGGTCCAGGTGCTGGTGGACTCTGGCGTGGTCGACGGGCGTCCCGTTGACGTGGGAGCGCCTGTGGAGGTGGCTGACGCAGGCGTGGCAGTGGGGCTGGAGGTAGGGCCCGTGCTGGGTAAAGGCGACCCCGTCGTGGATCCAGGGGTGGGGGTGGTCTTCGAGGAGGTGGGACCCAGGGTCGGCCAGCCTGTAAAAATGGAGGGTGTAGTGAGGGCTGAGGGGGTCCATGCCTCTCAGCACACAGGTGGCCTGGCAGCAAACACACATGGGCAGCCCCCTGGAGGCACAGCACGGGGTGTGAAGGCCTCCCACCCACTTCCCAGCTCTGGGCCTCGGGGCTGGATGGGGTGGCAGGCCCATGGGCCTTGGGGTGAGTAACGGGGAGGCCTCCACAGGACACTGCTCCATCCGGAGGGGCTGACCACTGGCCCCCGAAGCCCCAGGGGGAAGCACCAGGGGGAGAGGCGGAGACAGAGGGAGGGTCCCCCAGGGCGCCTGACCGGCAGCCTCGACACCCCATGAGGCCCCAGGTCCTTTGGTGGCTCACGCAGAGTGGCTTTGCCCACAGAGCCCATCATACAGATATAGGCTAAGGATGTGGGCCACGGGCAGCCGTGCCCAAGGAAAGACATCCCATGGGGGCAGGCACAGGCGGAGGGTCAGCACCTCTGTGAACACTTAGCGGTAGGGCGTAGGGGGGCAGGAAAAGCAAGTGAGTCCTTCTAAAACCTTCCTGGGAACTGCGTCCCTGGGAAGAATGGAGGCACCTGTCTGAAGTCCCAGGAGCTGTGATGCACCCTGATGAGAGGAAGAACCATGAGTAGACAACCACACTGGTGTCCACGTACCTTGAAGGGTGGTGCCTCCCACAGGAGTGACTGTCGGCACTGTCAGTGTTGGGGTCAGTGGTGTGCTAGAGGTCTCCACAGCTGTGGTGGTGGTAGACGGCCAGACTGGCGTCACTGTACTGGTGGGTGTTGGAGCTGGGGTCTCTGTGGTTGTTGTAGTGGTGAGGGTTGTGCTCTCTGAGGTGCTGGGTGCTGGGGTTGGGGTCCCCGTGGTTGTGGTAGTGGTGGGAGTTGTGGTCTCTGTGGTGGTGGGTGTTGGAGTTGGGGTCTCTGTGGTGGTGGTGGTAGATGGAGGCCTTGGGGTCTCTGTGGCTGTGGTAGTGGTGGGAGTTGTGCTCTCTGAGGGGGTAGGTGTTGGAGTTGGGGTCTCTGTGGTTGTGGTGGTGGTAGATGACGGACCTGGTATCACTGTGGTAGTAGGTGTTGGGGTTGGGGTCCCCGTGGTTGTGGTAGAGGTGGGAGTTGTGGTCTCTGTGGTGGTGGGTGTTGGAGTTGGGGTCCCTGTGGTGGTGGTGGTAGATGGAGGCCTTGGGGTCTCTGTGGTCGTGGTAGTGGTGGGAGTCGTGGTCTGTGAGGTGGTGGGTGTTGGAGGTAGGGTCTCTGTTGTGGTAGTGGTGGAGGCCGGAGTTGGAATCCCAGTTGAAGTGATAGTGGGAATTGTGGTTGGAGTCTCTGTTGAGGNTGGAGTCATGTAGGGTGTTGTAGCAGGGGTCTCCGTAGTGGTGGTCGAAGGTGTGGTGACACAGGAAGGTGGAACAGAACAGCAGTAGACGTCAATCTCGTAGTTGAGGCAGTAAGGCATGGGGGTGGCCCCCCCTGACCTCTGGTCCTGGTTTTTGCACACAAGCCCAACAGAGGTGTCACACACCACAGTTTGTTCAAGCTCTTGGAGGGGAGTGTTGGGAAACATGGCTGCTCTGCAGGAAATGTTGGTTACTGAGCCATTGACACAGATGTTCTCAAGGGATTCAACATCTCCATCTGCTTCAGTATCATTCGGTTTACCAGAATCCAGCCATCCAGTCCATCTGCAGTCTGGCAGACACAGAGAGGTTGGTGTCACTGTGGTGATTGTAGTGGTTGCAGTTGGGATAGTGGTTGGCGAGGTGGTCGGTGGGGAGGGAGGGGTGGTGGTGGTCAGTGGGGTGGTGGTTGGTGGGATGGTTGGGGTGGTGGTTGGTGGAGTGATTGGGGTGGTGGTCAGTGGGGTGGTGGTTGGTGGGGTGGTCGGGGTGGTGGTCAGTGGGGTGGTGGTTGGGGTGGTGGTTGGGGTGGTGGTTCGTGGGGTGGCAGTTGGGGTGGTGGTCGGTGGGGTGGTGGTGGGGGTTGGTGGAGTGGTTGGGCTGGTAGTCAACGGGGTGGTGGTTGGTGGGGTGGTTGGGGTGGTGGTTGGCAGGGTGGTGGTTGGGGTCAAGGTAGGACACTCATCCTTCTGCTGGCAGCAATAGACTCGTATCTCGTAGTCGTAGCAGACCCCAAAAGGTCCGTTTCCAAACTGGTCTTCATTCTTGCAAATGAACCCGACGGAGACGTCGCACCGAGCCTTCTGGCCCAGCGTCTCCCAGCTGAGCAGGGGCTCCACAGCTGCCCTGCACTCGATGTCCTGGGGGGCGCTGCAGACACCATCAAACCTCTCTCGGTCCCCGCCATCACTGTCAGCACTGGGATAGTCATTGTTGATCCAGTCAGACCAGGAGCAGCAGGTAACTAGGCGAGCAAGACCGGCATTGGTCAGTCAGGTGGGGGCATGCCTTTCAGGAGGTCAACAGGCTCAGAGAACCCAGAGACCCCCGTGACCAGCTGTCCACATCATCACCAAAGGGCCCGGGGTAGGCTCAGAGACTTCATGCTGAGCCTAATCTTCCACCCTCTACTTCTCCCCTTTTTCTGCAGCTAAAAACCCAAGACCCCACACCCCACCAGTGACAGACCCAGGCCTGAGGGCACCAGCCGAGTGCCCCTTCCTCAGCTACCTTCAAATCCATAAGCCAAACAGATGAACGAGGAAAGGGCCACCCAGCTCAGCCCAGAAGCCTGCTGGTGGGGCTCAGGCTGGACTCTTGACCAGTGTTTTCACCCAGAGCTAGTTAAGTCCCCTGCATGAGTCCCTGGGCTCAGCAAATCAGTAATCAGGTCACCAAAATAGATCACCTCCAGTCCCTGAGCTGGTGGTCCGGCCTTGCAGCCCAGCCCACATCGGGGTCTCAAGGGAGGCACGCTTTCTGCTGTTCCCCGCCCTGAGTCATGGGACCAGCCGCTAACGTGACTTACCGGTAGTGGGTGAAGAGGAAGGTGGCGCTGCGGTAAAACGCGGGGGAAAGAGAATGTCATTATACAGGACTGAGGTTTGTTAAATCTTTTAGTTTTCATGTTTCTTTTCCCGGTGGCTGTTACACACCTGGCAGCTCGCTCTGCACTAGCTACGATTGCAGCTGAGGGACCCGGGGTGCCTGGCGGCCTCCTCTAGCCCTTAGGGGAGGGGAAATGGTCTGGGGAAATGGCCCCGTGTCCGGGCCGCCATCACTCTGCTCTGGGCTCGGGGCTGTGGTCAAAACGTGGGAGGGGGCGGGGGACATGCCCTGAACTGACAGGCAGGTCATCACTTCCCACCTGCCTAGAAGGGCCATCCCTGCCGGGCTCAGGGGAAGACAGGCCCCGACATGGGAGGAGGCCTTACCTGTGCTGGAGGTCGGAGTGATGCTGGTGGTGGTGGAGGTGGTGGGGGCGGGTGTTGTCGTGACGGGGGTTGAGTGGGACACACAGACGTTGAAGTGTTGCTGCACTGTCCCGTTGGGGCCACAGAACTCCCAGTAGCAGAAGGAGCCGTCCTGGGTGATGTTGACAATCCTCCCTGCGGGAGGCCGATATCAACACATCAGGAACAAGACAGAGGCTCCCAAGGCCCCCTCGGCCCATCCACACGAGGGGAGACGGGTCCCCCATCCCCAACAAATGGCCAGCCAGTGCCCGCTGGGACCCCATGCCCAGGACCCTCAGCGGAGCCCGTCAGAACGCAGAAGCTGTGTCACAGAAGGGGCTTTGCTCCCCAGCAGGAGAAACACAGACGCGTCGGGTGAGCCCTAGGGCTGCTGCAAACCAGAGGCACCTCCAAGTCTGGAGGGGCCCAAGGCGGCCACACGGATGAAGAGTAGGGAGGAAGAGGCAGGGAAGTGCAGGAGGTTGCACCCACCCAGAAGCCAGGTGGGTCCAGAAGGAGTGTCCGGGGGTGGGCAGCTTACCTTCATCAACCCAGCAGACAACTGTCGAGGAGTCGGTACACATGCTGAAAAGCAAGCGCGAGGCTGCAGGCCTGAGCCTGTGCCCTCTCACCCGCCCCCCACAGCCCACGACAGGCCCGCAGCCTCAGGGAAACACTGCCCCAAAGGCCGGCTCGGGAGCCCACCTGGGTTCCCAGTGTGGGCAGAGCAGGGACGAGGCAAGGGTGCAGAGGCAACACGGGCCACCTCTCCCCTCCCCGGGTGCGTGAATGCGCATGCATGTGTGTGTGCGTGCCAATCTCCCCGGGCCCCTGCGACGTGAGCTTAGGTACCAAGAGTGGCAGATGTGCCCTGTGGGGACGGACGTTCCTGGTGTGTAGCGAGTGTTGTTGATGTAGCAGCCGCATTTGTCCCTGGTGACACACGCCTTCAGCTCCTCGTCATAGATGGGGCTATGCTTCGGGCACCGGGGGTAGCAGCCTGGTGGGCACAGGGTGCTGGGCTTGGACCAGAACGGATGACCCACATCCAGCCCGTCCACCTCACCCTGCCCACCCTCCCCGCCCCGGGAGGTCCTGTTCTCCAGGATGCCCTCTGAGAAGGGGGGCCTGGACCAACCCACTCCTACTGCCGTGGCGCTGCCACCTGGCCAAAGGGACAGCCGGGCCCCGCCCAGCCTCCTGGGGGGCATGGCCCCTGCGCCCTCCCCACATGGTCTCTCTAGGTCTCAGCTTTTCTCAGCTCAGGGGCCTCCTCAGCCCCCACCTCATCCTGACCTGCTCTTTTCCCACAGCACCTTCGCTCCTGACCTCAGGGGCCCCCTGACTTCGTGGTGTGCTAACCTGCCCCCTTTCTGTCTCTCCCCTCGAGAGTGGGGTCTCAGCTCAGACTCTCAACGGACTGTCTGATGAACAAACTGCAGCAGGGCGAGCCTGGTCCCCCTGGCACTCAGGGCGACACCCCACGAGGCCCCTCACCCTCCAGGTAGGACATGGAGATGTTGGAGTGGATGCCGTTGACGGTCCGACAGGTCTCGAAGCTGCGGTTCCCGCAAGGCTCGTAGTGCCACTCACACTCGTTCGGGGGGTTGTAGTAGTCGCAGAATATGGCTGGGGGTAGGGGTGCGGTCAGACTTGGGGAGGGCGGAGGTGGGGAGGGGACCATGGACACCCCCTTCCCCGGGGCAGCAGCCCCACCCACCGCCCAGCAGCTCACACCCTGCCCCGCTGGTGCCCGGGGACCAGGTCAGGCAGGCACTCACGGCACAGGTCGGGTGTCCTCCAGTACACGCAGGCGCCCTCCTTGGTGCACTGCTGGGCGTAAGAGGCCACGGCGGAGCAGAAGCACTCACAGTCCCCGCCAGTGTCACAGGAGCACGAGTCTTGGACGCAGGCCTCGTAGAAGGGCATGGGGTCCACCTGGGGAGGGGCCTCCATGTGCCGGGGTCCACGCTGCCCTCCCGGGGCCGGGCCCTCCCCTGTGGCCCGAGAAGCTCAGGACCCCGAGGCCGGGACCCCAGGGCGCTGCTGGGGGGCGTCCCGCGACGGTGCCCACCACACCCGCCCCCACCGACCACTCTCCCGACCACGCCGGCAGCAGAGGGCTGTCTGGGTGGATTGTGCGCTGTCTCCCTTCCTGGAAGGTACGGGAGAGCCTGGGGGTCCAGCCACGTCTCCCAGAGGAAATACTGGGCCTCTGGTCATGTGTCCAAAGGACACACAGGACAGAGCTGAGGGGCGACCCTGCACGGACAGCGCCTGGCCTGTGGCCCCGCCCACAGGCCGACACGCCCACGCCCCTCCCACCTTGCTGTGGCCCCGCCCATGCCGTGGCTCCGCCCGCCTTGCTGTGGCTCCGCCCACACCCACGCCCCGCCCACCTTGCTGTGGCAGAGCTGGAAAACCCGGCTTTTGATGATGCTGCACTGTTTCTCCGACCAGGAGCGGCGGTGCAGGTTCACGGCGCAAGGCTCCGGGGTGGTCGTCACGTCCGGACAGGTGGAGGCCTCCTTCCAACTGTTCCCGAAGTCCAGCTCGCTGTCCACCACCATGCTGTCCCGCGTGGTGAAGTCGTTGTTGGACTGCTGGTCGAAGTTCCCACACAGGCCACACACCGTGCCCTGCGGAGACAAGCCGGACAGGGGGCTTTGCCAGGGGGGCCTCGCGGGAGGGAGGGTGCTGGAGGCGGCCCGGGTGGACTCACAGGCACGGGCTGCCCAGGCAGGCAGGGCAGCTGCACACCTTGTAGGAGGGGGTCAGCTTGATGAAGATGGTGGTCTTCCTGTCCCAGATGACGATGACCCCGATGCTGGCCTCCACCACCAGGTACTGGCCCACATCCCGCATGATGTAGGCCACATGGTCACCCACATCACGCTGGATCACCATGCAGTGTCTGTCCTCCAGCTTCAGCACCGTCCTCTGTGCCCAGGGGAGAGGGCCCATCACTGGCCTGGTCCGAGGGTCCCCCAAGGACCATGCACCCCCCAGGGGGGTGGGGTGGGCAGCACTCACCCCAATGAAGATCTTGATGGCCTTGGAGCAGGTGACCCCCGTGGTACCACAGGGCACATTCTCGGTGAGGATGCTGAAGGAACCCAGGGAGGTGTTCTGGCCGCAATAGTCCTGGGGGCCCAAGGGTACATGAGCCAGGCCGACCCAGCCACGGGGTGAGGGCCCACCCCAGCTTGGCCCTTCCTCAGCCCCTCCTCTGCTGAAAGGTGGCTTAACCACCCCCCCACACACGTGCCCCTGCGCACCCCACACCCCCGACACCCACGGGAAGGTCATGGAATGGGAGGGCCGAGGAAGGGCTCCCCTCCGACCCCACACCCCATCCGCTCGGAGCCTCCTCACTGGGCTGGGACAACCCTGTGGCCAGCGCAGGGGCCACAGAACAGAGGCAGGCCCTGGCCGTGCCTTCAGCCTCACCTGCACGGCCACGTAGGAGCAGTGTCCATCAAAGTCATAGTACTTCCCATCGAAGGTGATGTAGTGGCCACTCCCGTAGATGGTACAGGTGCCGTGGCACACCAATTGGGTGCACGCCCAGCGCCCTTTCTGGCAGGTGCTGGGGAGAGGGAGATGGGGGCTGGAGGGGCTGCAGCAGCCCGGGTTCCCCAACCCTGCTCAGAGAGCAGCCTGGCAGCCTGCAGAAAGGCCCCAGCAGCTCACACACAGAGGAGGCCCGTGCCCCCGAGCAGGCTCCTGACGGGCCGCTCGGGGATCAGAGCGAGGCCCAGGCCCTCACCAGGTGTTGCAGTCCACCGTGATCTTGTCCCCGGGTGAGTACAGGTCATTGTTGTGCACACACGGGCACGCCTCCTCCACCACGCAGCCACCCCGGCCGTCGTCAATCAGCCCCTCGGGGCACACGCAGCCACTGATGCACTCTGTCTGGTACTGGGGGGCAATTGGAGAGTGGGGTTCAAGGACCAAATGCCAGGCCCAGGTTGGCCAGCCCCTCTTCTGACGCTGCAGACACCCGCTCGTGTCCCCCACCCCACCCTCCGATCCTCAACCCCGCACCCTGGTCCAGCCTCCAGAGCCCCACCCTCAGGCTCCCCACAGGGCTGGAAGACAAGTGAGAATGGCCGGCCTGGGGCACCTACACGGTCCCTGTCCCCCCAGAGGGCCGGGCAGGGGCCCACAGGCAGCCACTCCCTCAAGGGATGAGGGGGCAGCGAAGCCTGAGCGTCCGAGGGCCCAGGATCCAGAGCCTCGGGGCCACACAGGAGCCCCCTGTGCCCCCCGCCTCAGCAGCGCCCCCAAAACGCACATAGCCGGCAGCCAGCGTCTGACAGCTGACAGGCCTGGGGTTCCGGATGGCCAGCGCCGTCACGTTGTTGCAGTCAATGTGGATCTTCGGGGCCTCGCAGGCTGTAGGACCAAAGGGGCCACTGAGCTCAACTGAAGCTGGGTGGGGGCTCAGGCAGGCAAGGGAGCAGCGTGGAGGGCGGCAGGCCACGCACAAGGCGGCGGCCACTCACCCTGGCCGATCAGCTTGACTTGTATGCAGCTCAGCCTCCCGTTCCGGCAGACGCTGAGAGGGAGAGGTGGGGTGAGCCGGGCCCAGCGGCTCCGTGGGGCGGGCAGGCAGGTAGGGGGTGGGTCCCCCTGCAGACGGGGCGCTCCCTCCGCTGCCCCAGGACACCCACCATCGCTCCTCCTGCCTCAGGACCACCTCCCCCGCCTCCAGGTAGAGGCCGCGGTAGTAGCAGGAGCACTTGGCCAGGGGCACGCAGCGGCCCTTCTCGTCCAGGAACATGTGGTCAGGGCAGCCGCAGCCATCCACGGGCGCGAAGCCCTGCAGGCAGTGGGTGTCGGACTCAGACAGCGAGCGGCAGGTCTGCTGGCAGGTGGTCAGGTTGTACAGGAAGACCTGTGACTTGGGGCAGGAGTCCAGGTCCTTGTCTGCAGAGGGGAGGGGCCCGGGTGAGGCGGAGCAGCCCCCAGCTCCCTTCCCCGAAGGCCAGCCCCGAGCCCTGTGTCCAGCCGGGACGCCTGCCCAGCCGAGGGGCCAGCAGAGCGGTCACCCCGGGCCCATCCCGGCCACACAGGGGCCTCATGCCCCTCCTTCTGGGCTGAAGGATTCCAAGCTCCTCCGGGGCAGCAGAGAGGCCCAGGCTGGTTCCCCACTGGCCCCTGCGATGTTACCCCACACACCCTCCCCCTTCGACAGCCAGGGAGGGACAGCAGGGACTGGAAAGGCTGGCCAGAGCCCAGGACTCACTGCAGACATGCTCCCGCCAGCCCCACAGCATGACGCCCTTGGTGGCGCAGGCGCGGGCGTACGAGGACAGGGCGGCGCACATGCAGTCCTCCGTGTTCTGGCAGTTGCAAGTGTCATACTTGCACCTCTGGGGGGCAAACGGGCCGTGAGGTGGGAGCCGGCTGGGGAACATCACGCCCATGCCCTCAGACACGCAGCCCTAACACTCGTGCACACGCCCACCCTTCATCGCACGTGCGCTCACACACACCGCGATATGCATGTGCTTGTGCGCACACACTCGGCAGTTTCCCACAGGAGGGGTGGGGCTGAGCCGGGGGCGGCCGCTGCGTGCCCACCCACCTTGTAATACTCGGCTGGGTCCACGGCGGAGTGGCACCTCTCGAACGGGGTCTCGGTCTTCTTCAGCAGGGAGCACCAGTGCTCGGCGTAGTTGGCTGCGGAAGGTTCAGCCGCTCAGTGGGACGGCCCCTCTAGCAGGTCCCCGGGGCCCGCTTCCCCGTTGCCCAGGCTGGAGCAGACGCCACCCTCGGTGGACCAGACCAGTCCCCTCCCTTCAGGGCAGGCGAGCAAGGTGCCCCTTGCCTCTCGCCAGCTCCCCGGACGTGGCGGGCGGCCCGGTGGGTGTGAGGGCGTCTGGTCGAGGCCACCACCCATGGATTAGCAGGCCCTCTGCTGGGTCCTTCGGCCGGCTGCCACCATGGGCCACTGTAAGCCAGCCGCAAGGCAGCAGGAAGGCAGCAGGCGGCCGGCCGGCCAACCCTCAGCCACCCACCACGTCCCCCCGGGAGCCCCGCCTCCCCGGGGCCAGGGCCCCAGCAGCTGAGCCTCACCGCTCTCGATGTTGAGGGAGCAGGGGTCGTCCAGCCAGTCCTGCTTGTCCTGGCAGCTCGCCTGGACCTTCCAGGTGTTGGCAAAGCTGGCGGCTGTGGCCTCCACCAGCCCCCCGGCCGTCTTGAAGTCGTCCCCTTCCAGGCCGTTGAAGTTCCCGCAGAGGCCTGAGGGGCCGGGACAAGGTTGGGAAGGGCGGGGGCCACAGAGTCCAGAGGGCGGCCGCATGGGGGTGCCAGGCGGGACCACTCACCCTGCACGCGGCCCTGGGCCGCCTGGTCCAGCGTCAGGAAGAGTTGCATGACCGGCACCAGCTGGATCTGCAGCTTGAGGCCGAAGGTGGTGGTCACAATGAGGTGGTAGGAGGTCGGTTGAAAAATGGAGAAACTCGCTGCAAGGGGGGGCATCAGGGTGGGGGTGTGAGGAGCGGTGGGGGGGGTGGCAGGGACAGTGAGGGGCGGGGGCCTGCCCATCCCCCATCTTCCCCCCCAAGTCAGGGTGCCCGGAGCAGGACTCACCCGTCACATGGGGCAGATTCACCTTCAGCTCATTCAGCAGGACGCTGCCATCTGACCTAAAGGTCACCACCTACAGGCAAGGCCAAGGGGACACAGGCTGAGAAGGGCCGCGGGCCCCGGGGGCGCTGGGAGGGGGCGAGGCAGGGACACCCACGTTCTTCTTGCTGTCGGCCAGCAGCACCACGGTCTTCAGGCAGGTNCCAGGACCCCCCAGCCCGCCTGGACACCCAGCCCACTGGGACCCCCGCCCCGGCACCCACCACTGCTTGCAGTTGTTGGTGGTCTCCTGGCCGGGCGTGTACAGGTGTCCGTGCAACTTGCAGCCACACTGGCTCACGGGGATGCAGCCGCCACCCGCAATGTCATCATACACAGTGCCTGCGACAGCAGGATACGTTCCTCTTGGCCGCCCCGAACCCCCGCCATTCCCAGGGCCACAGGCGCACCTGCCTCCCACCCACAGACCCCTCTTTGGGGGCGCTGTGGACCCACACTGTGTCTGAGGGACCTGCCTCCAGGCTCAGGGTCACGGGCCAGGCTGAAGAAGGACTGTCCAGAGGTGAGGAGCAGGAAGCTCACACACCGCGCGCGCACGCGTGCATGCGTTTGCATGTGTGTGCACGTGTGTGTGCGTGTGTATGTGTGCATATGTGGGGGGGGACAGTCTCAGCGCTTGTGCTCTTTCTCCCTCTTGTCCCCCGCCCTGCCCCCGCCTGCATCCTCACCTTCTGGGCAGAAGCAGCCGTCCATGCGGTGCTCTTCACAAAGGTTGCTGACCTCCAGGTGTGAGCAGGTGTCCATGCAGGGCGAGCCGCTCTCCAGGTAGACCATGTTCCCAGGGCAGCTCTTGGCTGGACAGGCAAAGGCAGACCCCTGAGCCGAGGGGCGGGCGCGGCGGACACCGTGAAGGGTCTGGTGAACGCACGTGGCTCCCAGCCCTGGACACACCAGGCCGCCCTGCCGCGCACCCGGAAAGGTCAGCACGCTCCCCGGGGTCGTCCCCCATGAGCCCCCTGCGTCCTCCCGCCATCGTCCCCGCACGCCGCTTACGGCAGAACGCGTCTGTCCTCCAGGTCTCCGGCCGCCCGCCGGCGTGGGAGCACTGGCGGGAGAACTCGGCGATGGTGCTGCAGACGCAGGAGGCGTTCTGTGGGCACTGGCAGCGGTCCTGCGCGCAGGCCTGCACGTACGGCTCCACGGGCACCAGGCCCTGGCAGCTCGCGAAGGCCGCAGCCGTCAGCAGCCGCTCACACTGGGCGCGCTGGGGGGGCGGATGCGGGAGGCGGGCATGGGTGGGGCCGCTCACGGCCCCCTGCCCTCCCCGCCCCACCGCACGGGCCCCCTGCCCGCCCACGCCACACGGCCCGCCCCCCACGGCGGCCGGGGACTCACGTGCTCGGAGCAGGACTCGGGGACCACCGTCTCCTCCGGGTCGTCACACACCACCTCAGGCTTGTTCACCTTCTGCATATTCCCAAACTCGACGGGGCTGAAGGGTACACCTGAGGTGGGCACGGCCTTCAGCAGGGTTGGAGGGCGCCTGGGGGCCCTGCCTACACCCGCCCGCGGAGGCCCCCCGGGGAGGCACTCACCCTCGGAGAGGAACTCCGAGTAGGTCTGCAGGCCGTTGTAGTCCCCGCAGAGGCCGCAAGTGTGGTTCCGGAACTTACTGTCCAGCTCGAGCTGCCGGGGGAGGGGGCAGGTGAGCAGGCCGCGGGGTCGCACCCAGCTGCAGCCAAGTAGGGCTCAGAGACTGGTCAGCTGTGGTGGGAGCCCCGGGGGCAGTTCTGGAGGCCCTGAGGGCACCCCCCAAGTCCACAAGGCGCCCCAGCCTCCCGGGCCCTCCCCCAGCCCCCGCATCACGCCTGGCGCACCATGACCGAGTCTTCCTGGTTCCACATGAGCGTGAGTCCTGCGCGGGAGTAGACCTTGGTGTACGTGTCGGTCTTCTCGATGAGCAGCCCCGGGCTGTAGTGCGGAGTGCTGACCCTGGGGGTGGGCACAGGGGTCACGCTGGCCCACGCAGCTCCCGCCGGCAGAGGGGCTGAGGCTGTGGGCGTGGCTGGGGTGGCCACCCTCTGGGAACACTTGAGCAGTGGCTGAGCCCCTGTCCATCTGCCTGGCCAGATGCGGCCACATGCGCCTGCCCAGGGCCCTCTCCACACCCCTCCTCGGGCTCCGTTCTGGGTAGGACCCCCCAGGAGCCCCGGGAGGAGGGCAGGCCAACTGGGAAAGCCTCACCCAGCCTCCCAAGGCAGGCCCTGTGCCCACCCCGCACCCCCTCCGCGGGGACCCTGTNCATTCTGGGTAGGACCTCCCAGGAGCCCTGGGAGGAGGGCAGGCCAACTGGGAAAGCCTCACCCAGCCTCCCAAGGCAGGCCCTGTGCCCACCCCGCACCCCCTCCGCGGGGACCCTGTGCCCACCCCCACGCTGAGCCTGGCTGTGGGAAGCTAAACCGCAGGTGGGGACCTGTCCGGCAGGAATGCGCTCAGAGCCCCATTGTTCCGCAGACAATGCTGCGCAGTGTGGGGGGAGGACCGGCCTCCTGTGGGCCTGCATAACCCTAGCCTGGAGCTGGGTGAGCACCCAGCAGGGGGGCTGGGGGAGTCTCCCAGGAGAAATAAATCCCTCGAGCCCCCTCCCCAGCCCTGCACCCGTGGGAGTCCTGCCGGGTCCTCATCAGGGTTTGCTGACTGAATTGGTGACCCGGACTCAGACCCAGCACTCTGCTTCTGAGCTGTCGGCCAGAATAGACGCGGCCGGGGGAGCGTGTCAGGCTGGGGGGCAGGGGCCGCAGCCCCACCGCCAGGACGCGGGAGGGGGCGGGCCCAACCACTCACATGGCCCCGTTCAGCACGGCGAGCTGGCGGGTGAGGTAGATGGCGTCGTCCTTGACGGTCAGCAGGATGTACTCGACCTGGGACAGGCCCCCACTGCTGCCGGGGCTGCGTTTCAGGTGCACGGCGAACTCCTTGTAGGCGTCGCGGCAGTCGGAGGCCAAGTTGTAGTCGCACAGCCCGGGGAAGCGGAAGACGTCGCCGTCAAAGGTCTTGTAGTGGAAGTCGCCCCAGGTGCTGCACACGCTGTGGCCGTGGTTCCGGGTTCTGCCTTCTGGGGGCCACGGGGGGAGGCGTGAGCGGCCGGGGCTGCTGCCCTCGAGGACCCTCCGCTCCAGAGGCGCCCGGCAGCAGCTCAGAGCCTTCGGGCTGCAGGGCCCTCTGCCGGCCCCTGCTCACCCACCCACGCGGTCTCGGGCCCCCGCAAGGGCATCTGCAGCTGCCACAGCCTCACACTCATACCCTGCGGGGGCCGCAGCCGTGGCCTGGCCCTGGGCCCCTACCCTGGTCATTGCCACTCTCTGTCCACTGATGCCGCAGCCAGCACCCCCTCCCCTGGCTCCAGCCAGCCCGCACTCAGCAGAGGGACGGTGCCAGACCCCTCAGAGGGGGGCCCAGGTTCACCCCTGCGCCCCCGTCCCCGGTGGCTCTGCTGGGTGGAGAGCCGCCCATCCTGCAGTCACACGGGCTTCTCTGGCTGAAGCCGCCTCTGAGCAGAGGCGCAAACAGCCTGCTCTGCACAGGGGCCCGTCTTGGTCTCGACCCTCCAAGGGCCCCTGCCACTCAGGACTGCGGGCCTGGCCCCTCCTGGTGGCCCCTGCCTCCCTCAGACCCACAGGCTGCTGCCCAGCCCAGTGCGCCCACCTGGGACTGGCCCCTGGACACACTGGCCGGACCGCCACCTGCAAAGGGACGCCCCCTTCCTTCCCCCTTCCCTCCCCCCGCACCCAGAGTCAGCAGGGGTGGGGGCCGCAAGTGCCGGGCCAGGTCGCCAGCCCCAAAGCCTGGGCCGAGGAAGACCCCCTCTCCTCCAGGCAGGGCCGTCTGCTCCGGGCCGCCCGCAGTCCACCTACCTCTCTGGAGCTCCGTGCCCCCGGCCCAGGTCAGAGCCAGGCAGAGGGCCGCCAGGCGGGCCAGTGGCAGCCCCATGGTGGCCAGAAGGACGGCAGGGCAGAGCGCCCAGGGCAGGGGCCGGGCCTTATATACCCCGCAGAGCCACCAGAGGACAGGGAGGGCGGGAGGGCGCGGGACGGGTGGGGCTCCCCCCGGGTCATCAGGAAAACAGCTGTGGGGGCTCCGAGGGCCCGCTGGGGAAATATTGACTCAGGTTATCTGGGGTTTATCTTTTATTGCCCTGGTAGAGCCGGCCGTGCCCGGGATGCGGCACCATCTACCTGATTCCAGCACACACCCGAGGCGGACCTCCGTCCCTCCTGGTGCTGGACCAGCCTGGGGCCAGGGGTCCTGCCGGAAGCTCGTCCCAGCAGCCAGCGCGCTCCCCCCGTCCCCACCTCACCTGTCCAGGACGCCAGGCACAGCGGGGCCCAGTGGGGGCCTCCCCAGGGGCCCGGACAGCCCACTCTGCGGGGCGGGCGCCCCCTCCCACCTGGGGGCCTGCCAAAGGTCGTCTGGACCACAGCTTCCCCCCCAGGGCCTTTGCCCTCCCGAAACCTGCTGCCCGAGGCAGGGCAGGCATGGGCTCCTGGAGGCCCAGGGGGTCCCCAACTTCAGCACTGCTCCTTCCTGGAGCCTGCGAGCTCCGTGAGGGCCCGGCTCCAGCCCACTCTCTAATCCCTTCCCCTCCCCCAGCCCAGCCGGCCTCTGGAATTACATGTAATTGGCACTTGGGGAGCCCAGCGTCCTCTGGGACACAGGGCACCTGGCTCCAGGCCAAGAGTGGCCATCCCCGAGGGGAAGGGGCCAGGTCCTGGC